ATATTGTTTGACATTATCAGCAGGGCATAATTATGTCATTGATGGACGTTATATCTCAGATACAATTGGATATCGATTGGATATAAAAAAAACGGTACTACCTAATAATAGTATGCTTCACCTAGGCATACACACGACCAACGAATTAATATTCCATGAATTTGGCAATTCCAAATCTATTAATGTAACTGATAGAAGTAATAATTATGAATTATATTACAGCATGGAGGCCGTCAAGTATACTGCGCCCCTTTCCGAACATGTAAAATGTGGACAGTCTATAGACTGGGAAAATTGTATAAATCGTTGCCTAGTGGCCAAGTACCATAATGGTTTCCCAACTTACCAATTCATTAATGATACACATTCTAAACTTCAATTTAGCAAGGATGGAGCATTTGGTAGAAAGGCAACGTATATTTGCAAAACATCATGTGTCAAGAAAATTGACTGCTACAAAGGGCATTATAAAATGAACGTGGTCAAAACTCAAGACGAAGAGCCATTTTTGTCGGCCGACTCGATTAGGGTATCACTGAGTTTGTCGGATGCGAGCAAGGTGGTTTACGAAATGTCGCTCAAGATGTCTGCCGAGGAATACGTGTGTCTTATGGCAAGTGTCGCGAGTCTATGGTTTGGATTCACTGTCATTATGTTCACGGATTTTACGCGACAAATGTTTGTCAACATTAATAACTATAGAAATGATAATAGTTTGCGACAAGTAATAAATAATTTTCAATTCCTTAATTGTCGCTGTCGTTGTAGACGTAATACACGGATTGTCCCTGGTGAATTTGCACAAATGATATTAGATAAAATTAGATTTCAATCATAAATATTTTACGATCTCATTTATGAAATAACAATTCTTGCACATACAGTATTCTGTATATTCAATAGTAATATTAGTAATATTATTAACATTACCTGCAATTATTATGCCTGGCATTCTATCCTAGGTATAAATATATTCAATGTAATTTCATTATTCAAGTAATGGTGTAAAACAATAAAACCTGTCGTTAATTAAATACATAGAAAATATTTATACCTATGATAGAATACAAGGCATAATAATTACAGCCTGGTTGCAAGCAAACTATTTTTAGCATTTTGAAAGACCTTTCAAATCCATTTGGAATTATCCTGATACGTTAATCCAGTGCTAAGTTAAATTGCTTTAAAATGTACAAATTTTAAAATAAAATATTTATTTAAAAATTAACAAGACAAAATTTTTTGAAATCCAGAATTTAGTTTTTTTGGTATTGACCCTGTGCATCAAATCCAAAAATCAAAACCTAAAAATATTTATATACTTTTCAATTAATTTAGGATTTTCAAAAACTACGGTTCCCTAGCGTTCCTTTAAGAACTGAGTAAAAGTTGGCAAATCCACGTTATCGTGCTAAAAATTCATAGTTTAGGGAATCTAAAGAATATTAACAAATAATATGATCCGGATTATAATTGATTTATCATAACTAAGTAATTTAAATTAGTATTAACTGGCGGCATAAATTATAATAATAAAATTTAATTTTAATTTATAATATCGAGTGTCCCATCGTATCAGTAAGATTTCTAAATTAATTTTAAAATATTAAAATTATATNACATTAATATTGTCGGGTAACAGCTTATAGAACATTGAACCTGTTGAATAATTTTAAAATTTCTGATATTAGTTTAAAGTATACCAAGCTCATTTCATAAATAATTACCAGATTCACATGTATCAATGTAAAACACTAATTTTTCAAATTTATTATCCTGGTGCATACGCTTCAAAGCCGCGTTTAACTCAGTTGCGTAAAGTGAACCTGTTGCAAAACTTACACCGCCTGTTATATAATAGTAAAACTTGTTAAATCATTTTATTTAACAATAATTATATCTATAAATTACCCGGAAATCCATGGTCACCAAAATATGCGAATATATGATCGTTAGGTCCACTATTCACCACCTTTTTGCCCCTTTTAGCTAACTCTTGGTCACCCTGTAGTACGGCTAATAAATTCTGAAATGATTTTTTTATATAAAATATATTAATATAGATTATAGTATTGTATTATAATAATTAATAAATTAAATTTATACACTAGGGTTGACATCCTTTCCGGTGTAGTCTTTTGGGACACCCTTATAGACATCGGTGCCGTTGTACTCATTGATGACAATACCGGGTGTCGGGTTTTGTTTATTATACGCGATGTCGTCGTAATGAAAAATTATGATATTTTCTTCGGGTATACCATAAGACCGGAATAAATGATAAGCCCGGTACACTATTGCCTAGGTTAATTAATTTTAAAACTGTCAACAATTTGTGTAAAAATATTGTTTAAAATTAATAGCATAATATTTATAAATTAATTGATAAGATAAATGAGCATATACTATTTTATTATTATAGTAAATAGATTTGTGTATGATAAATCTCATATATTTTACTGATATTTACCTGGTCAGCGTAATTGAACCAATCATTACTACCGGCGCATAGTACTATCCAATTTTTGCCACCATTAGTAGCCCTGGTGAAATGTTTGGGAAATGACACAACATAGGATACTGCTATACAGAATAATGATAATATTATTAAAATTTTCATGTTTTACAAAAAATAATTTCAAATAAACAGAATAACAATATAATATATAGACTGTATGTTTTAATAAAGATATTTGATTTATATAGTATTTTTACGAATAATTTATTAATCTAATAAACTGTAGTGGCACAGTTTATCTATAATGTACCAGTATTTTGTTATACGGTATGTTACAAAATAAAGTATGCATTTGTCTAAATAGCATTGTTAAGTTTATCTAGCTGGCACATTAGGTTTGTTAAAGTATGTTATTAAATGATTTTACCCCCTTCAAGATCTTTGTTATAATGGTACTTATGTATCATAAAGTACTGCAATGCTATAATGAACTAGCTGTATATAACTTGTGATAAAATTGACTGTGGTATTTCATATTCTTAGAATTAATGTTATTATTTTAAACAGATATAGATTATTGATCATTTTAATAGTGTATTATATCTACAAATTTATCCATATTGAAGCAATTTAATTGTTATATTAATTTTTCAAATATTTAGTACAGCTTATTGGATAAAATAAGCTATAAATTTATTTAAATTTGTATTTACATTATACTAAATTTTACAATTTATTTTGTAGCCTATTACATGAGATATAATTTATCAATAAAGTTTTTAAAAATGTCAAGGTCTAAAATGAGAACCTGGTTCTTTTGAAAAATGAAATGATATTACACGTTAGATTATTTTGAAATGTATTAACTTAAGGGCTTAATTATTTATTACAAACATATTTTTAAATTTATTATAAATGAGCAAATCAATTTATCAACATTTTTATTTTTGTTACTAACTACTAGATTGCACTGTGTCAACTAAATGATCAAATACTGTAATTATATATATATAGATGCTAAATTCCCATAGTAAGTCCAAATGCACTTTTGTGTAATTATGATAAGATAATATCATATCGCAATGTATATCATTAGTTATTAATTGAAATATTTTGTTATTTAAGGAATCTAGTTATATAATACTAGTACACTAAAATTGTGGCTAATTTTTTATTTATTTTGTTCAAGTTAAACATGTCATTCATAATTAAATCGGACAAACCTTCATATGAGATACCGGACCAGTCTATGGCTGAGTTTGTATTCAAACATTTAAAACAACTGGATGGACAGGCTGTTTGTGTGGTACATATGTCTAGATAAACTATTTTTAAATAACAATGCTAATTTTATTATAAAAAATACTGTACATCATATATAACGTTACAACCAAATAAATGTATAATAAAATTCATTTTCATAAAATGAGATTATTATAAATTATTTTACAGTTTAGGATTAGTTAATAAAATATAAATATTTTAAAATAATTTTGTAAAATATTCTTATCATATTGTATTACATTAAATATATTAATTATCATTTTAACACAAAATAAACTAATTATTAAAAATATTTTGCATAATAGACAGACGCCTACAAAGATGTCTCACTGACTGTCAATGAATTGCTAGAAAAGTCGCAAACTTTAGCCACGGGTTTGACGGCGTGTGGGGTCACCAAAGACACCACAATCGTAACGTTGGCCGAGAGTAGTGTCGAGCACGTGGTCGCCGTATTTGGCGCTATATTATTGGGCGCCAAACAGCTCTACCCTATCAGTCATATCGCAAATATTGTTGAGTTAGAAAACTCGCTGAAAACAATAGGGGGCGCACTAGTAGTGTTCACCAGTACCTCGAAACTCGACATAATTAATAAGTTTTTGAAAAATACTGATAACTATTTCCCATCAAAACCGTTGGTCATACTGTTAGATACAGATTTAAATGATAGACATATGACATTTAGCCAGCTACTTCAAAACCCGAAAGTTAGTCTACAACAAATACCGTATTTCCCGGTTAACCCCAAATATGATACATTTTTATTAATGCAAAGTTCAGGCACTACCGGTACCCCGAAATTGGTGCAACATGGTCACCATACTTTTATTGCTCATTTACTACAGTTTACTCTTGGTGATTATCCATTTGCTAAACAACCTAGGTACGCACATGTAACGCCATTCGGATGTATATCAGAGATAACCTTCCTGATTGGCTACATATGCCGGGGAATACCGATTGTTATTTATAGTGATATTAGCGATGAATTAGTGTTGCAATCGGTGGGAAAATATAGTATAAATTTTATGTACTTTACCCCGATGTTTGGTCATAAGTTGATGGATGAAAATGTTAGACGAAAATATGATTTATCCGGATTAAAGTTTGTGTTCACTGGTGGTTCAGCATTACCCTCCCACGTGGCGAATGCTATTACGCAAAAGTATGGTATGATTTTAAGGTTAGGTAGGTGATAATATTTTATTATATTTATTATGTAATAAAGTGAGTTAAATATTTAACGTTAAATAAATATTATATTTTATTTTAAAAAATCAAATTAAGAATAATTTTTATAAATAATATAAAATTTTAACTAGGTAAAGTTTTTACTAATATAATTTATTTTTATTTAAAAAATTATTTAAATTTTTGTTATAACATTTTAACCAATAAAACTAGTTTGGCATTTCATCCATATTCCCAAAGTACTACAACTTTAACATTATTAGTTACATTTATTTTAATTGAAAATAAATTTTACAGTTCATAATCTGAATTTATTTTAGAAATAATTTTACAGTTACGTAAACATTTGTAACTGTAATATATTTTTACGTTATTTAATCAAATTTAATGTATACGTTAGGGTACGGTATGACAGAGTACGGTACTCTGACGGACTTTGACAACATGGTAAACCCGCACGAGTATATCCAGGGTTGCGTAAGTGGACCGGCACCTAATACCAAGATGAAAGTTATCGACATAGAGATCGGTGAATGTCTGGGCCCTGATATTGATGGCGAAATATGTGTGCGAGGGGATAAATTGTTTGATGGATACCTGGGTAACCTGTCGGCGAGGGATATGTGTGTGGACCGGGAGGGTT